GTTGGCGGTGGGTGGGTTGAGTGACTAGCTGCCTTCCCTCCTAGTCTTACTACTGCTAAATTAGGGTACGGACGTAGCGCAGATAGCCTCTGTAGCTTTGCGCGAAATTCAAAAACAAACAAACATATTAAAAAATTAAAGTAAAGGCGTGACGTTGCATTTTAAAGTTTAGAAAAATCTGTTGTAATTTGTGGGTTTTTTATAAATCATCAAACATTTCTGAGATATGATTTATTCTTATTTAAAGATGGAAGGTCGAGTCTTTTAATTACTTCTCAGTACTGACGCCCACATTGATTTCTTTGATGGAGGTTCTAAAATTCAAAAGATTTAAATTTCAAAAATTATTAAAATATTTCTATAGAATTAAGGTGCAAAAATACACTAAGTGTACAGTGTTGTTTCTTTTGTTTGTTTTTCCCCCTAAAAACAAATGTTTATTAGATTCTTTCGTGTTGCTTGAGTAGGCTTAGTTTAACCTGATGCATGCTAAAGCGATTACCTGTAATTTACCTTGAACAATTTGATATTTTGTTGGTGACTTTTTTCTTCGTTTTTTTAAACTTTGGACTTAAAGACTTCGAATTGTTCGAGAAACTACTGAGATTTTGAAGTATTTTTTGTGAATTATGAATACATGATTTACTTCAGTTGAAAAGTGACTATATGACTCATGATCTTTAAAAGTCTTTCACATTAACTAGCCATATTCATAATATTGACCTTAATTCTCATAACTTGATGATACTTAGGTAAGCGGCGTGCATTACTAACTTTGTACATCTGTAAGCAAAAATCATCATTTAATATTTCTTAGTATTAAATGTTTTTCGTAACTAGCCTCGACCTAAGCAGTGATGTTGCAAAAGTTTGGTTTTGAGGAATAAATGAATTGGAAATTAGCCAAGTCGGTTGTGTGCATCATCACATTCTCTCTATACGTCTTGGTTGCTCAGTGTTTCCACTCATATGGGTTTTCGTCTGCATTGTCATTAGTGCCGAACGTCTACCGATCCTACCCCTTCTCTCCTCTAAACATCAACTTCTATCGCGACAGAAAGATTGTTATTGCTTGTTTTAATGAAAAATACGTCTTGACTTTTAAACTGCCTCTCCGCAGAGTGCGCATGTTTTTGAGAGAAGAGACGTGACGTTGACGTCTCTTCAGTAAACAAAGTTTTCAAAGCGTTCCAAGAAATTTGTGATTTTAACTTCTAAATTAATCTTTGAAGGGAAAGTTCTTAGGAAAATAAAATATAGCTACTCATATTTAGAAAAATAAGAGTTTGTTCGAAACAGCTAAAAGTGAGAGACTTTTAAAGACGGTCCCATAGTAAAGGAGGAATATATTGGTATGTTGTATCTTGGTTGAACTGTACCTATTAGTATATATATATATTAGTTTGTAGAATTATACGTGGACTGTTCTGTACTTTAAATTACTATTCTTTTATTTGCGAGCTTTCTGCCCTCTTACCGAAGCCTTCATCGGACAACAGTATACATTGTTGTAATTTTTAGAGAAAAACACTATACACCCCATCCTGTGGTAAACAGACAAAATACTTTAGTGTATTATTGCTCCTAAAATCTAGAAATATTTTTATAATCCCTTAGATTTAAATCTTATGGATTTTAGAATTTCCATCATAGAAATGACTGTGGGCGGCATTACTGTTATAAGAAGTAGTTACACATTGTTGCCCGGTGAAGGCTTCGGCCGAAAGCTCGCAAATAAAAAGAAAACTATTTTAACGCACAGAACAGTCCGTGTATCATTCTACATATTAATTTACCTAAGTTATGA